ATATATATATATATATATATATATATATCCCAAGAAGAAAAAGAAAATTATGTATTTCTGAAACGTATTTTTTAAATCAATATATAAAATAATATACAAAATATGATGTTATGCTATAAAGAAAGAACATGTTTGACACGATACATATAATATCGCTGTTGCACTTAAAATAAATAAATTTGTTGTAACCTCGCTATATCGTTGCCGCCAGCTGTGCATGTAAACACGATCGATGTTAATTAGGCTCATCGAATGCTGCGTCGAGAGAGAAGACGAAACCGGGGGCTTTTCTTGGAAAGAGTGCGTTTTCCGCAGTCCCCTTCCAACCTCTCATCCTCTTTTTCTTTTCTTCATTCTTTCGTATTATTTCTTCTGCTTTTTATTCATCCTCGTGGAACAACATCGGTATCTTTTATTACATCTTTCTATGTAGGACATAACGTTCTATAATATCTCATTGCGCGAAGTGGAAGCTGCCGTTTCGTCGCATTTCAGCCACGCTGATCTAGATAGATCACAGTCTAGTCAATTACAAAGTCCGAATTGATCATGTGTCGCGATCTCTCAATTACGATTGCTCGGTGATTTTTTTCACTTTTGCGAGACAACTTTTTAATCCTCCTTTTTTATACAAAGAAAGAAAAAAAAAACGACTTTTTATACTGAATATATGTACAGTTTTTTACTCTATATTTTTCTTCTTTTTTTTTTACAAAGATGACAAATAGTTTGCATGAAGATCGATTTATTTTATACCCATATCTAATACGTGACGATGATCTTTCTTTCCTGAATCAATGTGAGGTAACACGAAATCTCTGATGACACGTGTCGACAGCGACGATACAAGAATATACAGGGTGCTGTATTTAAGTTGTATTTTTAAACTGTTTCGCAATTACTCCACGAAGATTATGAAAAGATTCTATTTTCATATCTTCCATCTGTTTAGAATATGTTTCATATATATTAATTTAACGATTCTAACGTATGTATTTCATTAATTACAAAAGCAGAACGAAAAGAAAAAATAAACATTACTAAAATCTCGTTTGAATCTCAATGTTTCAGTAACTTGGACATGAAATGGAACACTCTGTATATTCACAGCATAAATAAATCATTCTTCGTACGAACAGCATGA